ATCTCAGGGAACTCCAGAATTTCCAGATAATCCCTCGTAACCTGGCAGTCTGGGACTACGTAGTGGGTCACATCCTTTGGCAGGAGGCCTGGACCTTCTGTAATAAGCAGCAACATTTACAGAGACGTCAATTATTTGGTGTTTTCATCGAACAGAAAAATGATGGTACTAGTATTTACAACTTGTTATTTCCTACTATGCAGTGGCATGCTTTACCTTCGGATTAAAAGCTGCTACATCAAAATTGGCTTGAAAATCTAAAATTCCCCAGGGGAGCATGCAAACGGACCCCCTACTAGATTGCGAGCGCTTGGCTTTGGTGCTTGTGTAATACCTACGGAGCTCCCCTGTGCAGATGCGATCATGGACCTAGGCTTGCGGAAAAACATTTTGAGCTGGCTAGAGCCCTGAACAGAAACATGATCATGTTCAAGTACAGCAGTTAATGTTTAAAGAACACACCGTTTGTACAGTCGGCCATGCACAGCCTGCTGTTACAGGACACGTCATCCCTGAGGTAGTGTTCCCTCACCACCCGGACCGTCCGGCCGGTACCTGTCTTCAGACGCAGATGCTTCTCCGTCTTAATCATGGTTCTGATGAAAGAGGACTTTCATTTCCTGGAAGAATATCACAGACCGCATAGTACAGATCTAGGATGGTGTTATTGTCACATTTAATTACAACTCTTTCAAATTTGCACAGATAAAGTACAAATTTGAACATGATAAAGTTGCATCAAATTCTTAAGAACAACACGCCCATTTTCTTTGCATCGTACTACAATCATGATATTATCAAAAGTTTGCTGGTGTTGTGCTTAGTATTGTAAGTACGTTGCAAAGAAAATGGGCGTTTCTGACCTGAATCCGCAACATAATGTGCATCTTAACGTTATTTACATGCTATTTCATTAATGATGAAACTATCATGTTGACAATTACTTGATGAAGCCCACAGAAAACAGGCAACTTGTGGACATACCAAGATTTCATTCCAGCCGCCACTTCCAAAATGGAGTAAACCAATGTGGTCAAAGTGTAGGGGTAAACGACTGTTCAAAATGTTTTATAACATATGCATAGTAGGCAGTAGACACAAACACGTTATGTCTTTGTTGCAAATTAATATTTTTAAATTATGAAAATTAAAATGTTTTCTTAAAATATCCTTTTGGTAATAATATTATATGAATATTTTTTGTAGTGAAGAATCCATTTTCTGAGTGGTTTCGTTCTTGACCTTTGACCACAACATGGCGCTGGAAACAACATTTCGGTTACGGCTTTAAGTTGTCCCGAGTATGCAAATGAGGGCGTTCACATGTAAGACATTACACAGCGGTCCCACACGTATGCACCCCTAACTATTCTTGCACATCCTCACATATTCCCACTAATCCTTCCCTATCCTTACACATCCTCTCCCATCCTCCTCTATCCTTACACATCCTCACACATCCTAACCAATCCTCCCCAATCCTTACACATCCTTAGCCATCCTCTCCCATCCTCTCCCATCCTTAACACCCATCCTCTCCCATCCTTACACATTCTTACCCATCCTTACACATTCTTACACATCCTCTCCCATCCTTACACATTCTTACCCATCCTCTCCCATCCTTACACATTCTTACCCACCCTCTCCAATCCTTACACATTCTTACACATCCTCTCCCATCCTTACACATCCTCTCCCATCCTTAAACATTCTTGCCCATCCTCTCCCATCCTTACACATTCTAACCCATCCTCTCCCATCCTTAAACATTCTTGCCCATCCTCTCCCATCCTTACACATTCTTACCCATCCTCTCCCATCCTTACCCATCCTCTCCCATTCTTACACATTCTCTCCCATCCTCTCCCATCCTTACACATTCTTACCCATCCTTACACATTCTTACACATCCTCTCCCATCCTTACACATTCTTACCCATCCTCTTCCATCCTCACACATTCTTACCCATCCTTACACATTCTTACCCATCCTGTCCCATCACTCCACCATAGCAATGAACGAGCCTACATTTTGAGGGTCATGTTTAGTTTGTTAACTTTTCTGTTGTGTACTGTTTTGATGGCAAATGAAGCTTTTAAAGATACGTAACTAAAAATGCACAAAATCACAAACTCCAACATCTTTTCATTGTTTGTGTTGCGTGTTGTGGGGAGGGCACACAAACACATAGATCTGCTCCCACAGTCAGCAGTGTACTGCTGCCCAATTTTGCTGTCTACACGCGAGTTTGTGCGTGTTATTCAGAGGAAAAATGTAGACATGAGGTCAACAACCTAGTGTGTTGACGTACGACGCCCAAAATTTCATAGATGATGAAGAAGGTCATATTCCTTTCATTGATAAGTTTTCTTATCAATAAACTATAGGTTCAAAGTTATACAATGAATCTGCTTCTTCAGCATGACCATGTATAATTTCGTACCTTTTGTATAATGATTTGATCTGGGGAGGATGGGTAAGAATGTGTGAGGATGCGGGAGGATGGGTTAGAATGTGTCAGGATGAGGAAGGATGGGTAAGAATGTGTCAGGATGAGGAAGGATGGGTAAGAATGTGTCAGGATACGGGAGGATGGGTAAGAATGTGTCAGGATGAGGAGGATGGGTAAGAATGTGTCAGGATGAGGAAGGATGGGTAGAATGTGTCAGGATGCGGGAGGATGGGTTAGAATGTGTCAGGATGAGGGAGGATGGGTAGAGGATGGGTAAGAATGTGTAAGGATGTGAGAGGATGGGTAAGAATGTGTAAGGATGGGAGAGGATGGGTTAGAATGTGTAAGGATGGGAGAGGATGGGTAAGAATGTGTAAGGATGGGAGAGAATGTGTAAGGATGGGAGAGGATGGGTAAGAATGTGTAAGGATGGGTAAGAATGTGTGAGGATGGAAGAGGATGGGTAAGAGTGTGTAAGGATGGAAGAGGATGGGTAAGGATGGGTAAGAATGTGTAAGGATGGTAGAGGTTGGGTTAGAATGTGTAAGGATGGGTTAGAATGTGTAAGGATGAGAGAGGATAGGTTAGAATGTGTAAGGATGGGTTAGAATGTGTAA